TTAGCGACGATATTAAAGCTACCTTCAGTGTCTTCGTTCAAGGTTTGAGTACGCGAACCAACTTGCCCTCGTAACTTTTTTATTGGGCATTCAAATTGGGTTCTAATTTTTCCCTGGCTATGCCCAGTCCGTCCTCTCCCCGAAAATCACTCGTTCGTATGCCAGCGGGGCGCGCTTCACACTTTCCCCAGACGAACCCCACGACACAATCCTACCAAATTGTGGATCAGAAATAACCACAAGCTGGACTTTAGTGAGTGATCAGATGTAGATCGGGTATTATTGAACGCCAAGGTTCATTCAAAGATGACGTAAGACATTTTTACATTCCTTTCTGGAAATGTATTTCCAGATTCGGACGAGCTGTGTGCGAACACGTGTGGATGCATGCATAAAGCTCTGTGCGGGCCCTAACTGACATTTACGGACGGCGTTGTAGATTTCTCTTGATAGCTTATGAAGAATGAAGAGACCTAGGACAGATAAGCGACAACATGCGATAAAAATTAGGGTAAAGTGGAAACGCATAAACGAGACGTCTCCCTCGCAGCTGCATGAGATGACCGCAAAAATGTTAGCTTAGAACTTTGGGGCTTCCGACTACTGCATAACCTGCCAATCTGGTTTAAATAATACACTAGTTTAAGAAATAACAAATCCAATCCAACGAAAGTTTTCCGAAGCGTTTCTAATGTTTCGCTATGAACGGTTCCATGATACAGTAGCACACCTTGATAACGTGCAAATCACTTAGTTTTGTACGTTTTTAAAGTTTTTCTGATACATCAGTTATTCAATCCTTACCAGTTTAAGCCAAATGTTTTGCTACGAGCATTAATTTTCACAATAAATGCATTGATCTTGAATTGAGAATAATTACAGGTTTTTCTGTAACAACAAAAGTTTCTTATCATGAAACCTTTATATAACATAGTATTACCTTGATAGAAGTAAAATATCCCACGGTAAAATTGCCAAAAGCATTACAGACAGACCTTTCAAATGCAAGAGAACATACTTGGATCCGATTACACGAAGAGTGTATCCGCATTGAACCATGTATAAATCTCGATAGGTATTTAGAGCTGCACAGTGATCCTGGAGTAAACTGAAAATAATGGTAATACACATTTAGCGAACAATTTAAGGAAGTTATGTTTTTAGGCGAAATTTTCGGGACGACTAGGTACTCATTTTACGCCTCAGTAAAGCAGTATCACTAAATTAAAAATAAAGGTCTAACAGAATTCAGATATGTCTAGCAAAACACAATTGGACCAAACATCACTAGATTAGGAGTTCACTTTTTGATTACTCAGTAAAAAATGGTTTCATGTTCCCAAAATTAGAATTTTTAAACGAACAAAATAATAATTCTTACAGCTTTAATCAGATTTATGAGATTTAGCAGTGTCAAATATTGTTAAAAGTGAAATTACAAATTTCCAACTGTATCAAAGTTTTTTGGTCATAAATGGGAATATAAACTTTCCCTATTCCGACGGCCTTAGTGTTAAGGTTAAGTTCAGTTTTAGGGCTGTGATCAGAGAAAGTTAAGGGCTAACTTTGATAGTTGGATCAGCCTCATTGTGAGGGTAACGTTTATGACGCGAGCATACTTACCCTTTCAGGAGCTGCGGGCAAGGCCACCTGTGTGAGCGGGTGAGGAGTTCCTACTCTCGTGTCTTACCAAGTTTTTTTTGGAGCGATAAACAATTTTAAGTGCATTTTATTTGAGTCTGGAGGCAAACAATTAACATTAATAAAGAAGTTTTGATGTTGCAAAGCATGTATTTAAAACAATATTTTCCATTACGAGCTAGACGCAAATGCACGATTAGAGTAACGTATGGGGTTTAGAACCGGTCGTTTAAGTTGTCACAGCCTTCGGGTGCGGGAAGAACCGGAGAATTTTCAGCAAGCCCAGATTAACCGAGGTAATCCTGTCGTTACGGACCTTTCCAAATGTAGATTGTGATTCTGTCATCTGCAGTAATTTGTCTACCTTACGTTGTAATTTAAAGAAAACCGCATAAACCAACTGTGCCAAGGAAAAAGGTTTGAACTGCTCTCGTTAAGAGAAACGTGAAAGCGCTGATTTATATTTTTTCAAAATGCTCACAGGGCTATAGGACTTTAAAACATGTCCGAAGCGTGTTCCATACGTTTAAAAATAGCCCCTGCAACTGTCTTGACAATTTGGCGGCACACTGGTTGTTCTTAGTGTGATTTGTAGCTAGAACTTTTTCCGATGTGAGCATACACAGTTAACTGCTGTTGGTTACAATCTCCTGATGTCTTTTGGTCGGCTTACAGTGGAACGCTAGGATATCTTGACAGGTTCTTGTATCCAGGACATTGGGACGTAAATCATGGTAATGTGCAAGTCATCTGGCTGGCTTTCACTTGATGTTTAAATTTAGTCTACCGGCTTTAACGCTACCTCCTTTAAATTTTGCTTCAAAGGCTTGCCTATCAACTATCCATTTAAAAAATGTTAGGATCCGCGGTAGTTGGCGATTCGAGCACCAATTGACTTAGAAATTTGTGTCTGAAGAATATAATTAAAAAGCAGGCTTTGGTGACTGACGAAATGCAGGAAACCATACGAGAAAGCTGACAGTTAGTGAGCGCAGCTTATTCGAAGCCCTCCCGGATCGTCCGCTCATCTACAGAAAATTCCTATCTGATATAAGTTATTTACTTCCAAAAAATGCAACAACAGAAATAGGGGCCGACACTTTGAGGAATATTCATGTTTTCATGGGTTAAGAGGTTGATTTGTTTATATCTCTTCAGGATCTGGACTCAGGTGCAGTCTGATCTATGACCGAGAACTAAGGCGTCACATTGTGTATAATTTGTGTTTTTCACTCCTGTCTTCTTTGTCTGCAAAAAAGATCAGTAGGTCTTTACAAGCGTCTGTTCTAATGGTTTTGTCGTGTGTTTCTATAACAGTCTATGATTTTTATTAGCTCAAAGGTACTTGCAGTCTCCTTGGATCGTATGGGCGGTCGACTGTGACTTTTGAACTCAACCCGCAGCGCCAATTGGCTAAAGAGTCGATGATCTTGTATCACTATTTGTACACGGGAGTCTTCCATCTGCAAAAATAGGTAACCGAATTCCTTATTTAAAGATTAGGATAATGAATAAAATTACTCCGTTGACTATCCACATTTCAGGCACATTAGATTTGGGAATTCCATGTCTACAATTGTCGGTGTCAGGCCTCTGATGCGTTAATCATCCTTCCTAATGTTCCACTAAAGATGAATAAATTGGGCTAGTTGGAAAAGTTAAACTTTTTGTGTTTGCCTTATTCCAAGGCCTACTGTAAACGCGGCAATATTCTCATATTTCTGACCAGTAGGAGATAACATAGTAGGTGCCACAAATGACGATTAACTCAACTCCACTGTAGCAGTTTTGAGGCAAATAAATATTAAATACGAAGTATCTTCAGCTTTATCCTTAAGCAACACAACATTTTTGAGTTGCAATCGACGGTATGGGATGTTGGAATGCATCTTATGGATTTTCGAGCTTACTTACGTACATGGTAACTTTACATCTAATATCTAGTTGCTACCTTGTATCCATACAATGAATAAAGCCCCTGTGTATATCATTAATTGCATTACTTACCGACCTAATTATGGAGAGGTTTGCATACCTATGTTGGTTTGAATTTAATGTACAGGGTGTCTACAAAGTCTGGGTACATAGGAATTTTAATATTTTATTTATTTATGTTATTTTTGTTGGGACGGCAGAGTCCCATAATTAGTCAACACCGGTTAGGCTCTCAGCGCAGCTGTAGCGCAAAGTCTCTAACCGTGGCTTGACAACGCGTAATGATTATCGATTTTCCGTCCTATCTGATTGGACCGTGAGTACTGACGCCTCCTCGCTATGCGCAGTGAATAAATAACCTGGAGCCTTTTTCTGTGACTGACTTGCACTCTTGCATTCTGAGTTGCTGACTCGCTCTGATTGCTCTCACGCTGTTCTTAACATTATAATTAAATAAAATTGTTTTGTTCTATAGGTATGTATTTATCCCCTATGTACCCAGACTTCGTGGACATCCTGTATGCATGCGTTTATCTCAGTGAATATTCTTCAAGCGAATCCTGTTTTCGATATCAAACCGTAAACTATATAATTGGAAAAAAACTAGTCGTTTCGTGTTTCTATGCCTTTTCGGCTTAAGACGGTTTTAGCCAATACGGTTAGCTGCCATTTGTTTCGGCATGCAGTTTGTCGTGTTCAATTAAGGTATAATACATTTACAAGCTTAGGAATGACCAGCGTTGTAAGGTATTTGATAGCACATTTAAAACCTATAGTCCCTTAAATACGTACTCATATCTGTTTGAGTAGCCTGTTATCTCATCCTGAAGCTTTTCGTTCAAGCGTGTTGAATCTTCCAGTTGGCGAAGCACATCTTCAAACCGAGTCAAAGGGACTGTTTCCTCAAAATGACATTCGTACTCTGTCAATTTTGCCGTAACCGCTGTCAATGTTTTCTTGCACTGTCTGAAACAGACAAACGCAACCATCACAACGTGAAACAATCAATGCTTACGAAGGGTAGATACCAAATGGGGCAGGTTATCTTTTGGAAAATAAAGCTTTCGTTTAAAGAGATAATGTAACTTAGCTCTTCTGTTGCGGAGCTTCTCTGAGATTTCTTGCTGTTCTGCAAAGACAGCTCCTTTACTTATCGCGAAGGCCAGGTAGCAGGAGGCTACGCCGCTTCGATTGTAAGAAAGGGCTTTTTCCCAAGTATGTATTCGTAATAAATAAATTTTGCATTATTTCACAGCCTAAATTACATTACACTTAACTTCGAGAACTTTTAAGTACAAGTTTGTCCAAAAAAAATAATCGAGATATAGAAAATATCAACTAACTGAAGTTTTATGTTTTCAGTGGAGCTGCTGGTCATAAATGTATTGCCGGTTAAAATGATTTTAAAAGTAGTATAAGGTAAGGGAGAGACAAGACTTTTGGCCGGAAAATATCAATCTTCTAAGAGCTCTTTGCTATATGAGCAGATGCGCTGCCATGAGGAAAATCACTTTTTAGTTTATGAAATCTATGCATTTTGGTGGTTTCAATTATTCTGAGTTCAGTTTTGAACATCATCTCTCGAACGTAGCTTTCTGACTTTCTTACAGCGCGTCAAAGTCTCTTGACTTCTCCTCATGACATTTATTACTAGATATGGTTTCAAAAGGCCGAAGGCCTTGAAGGATGCCGAATTTAATAGGTTATTTTGTATCTTAAATCTCTCCCCCAGTTATGCACGACCGTTATTTTGTTGTAAAGCGAGATTTATGATATTTCTAAACAAGTAACAAAACAAAATCAGGAAATCTTCAATAATTCCGGAGAAACATCTGCTGAAAAACGATGAGAAAAATATACCCTACATCCACAAACTAAGAAAGTTCGAAGTTAGTATCATTTTCTGGCGAAATGCAAGGTTCCGGTTTCATTCTACATATAAAGTAGCCTCAGCGGAACGGAGGGGTGCCGTCCACGCCCCCGAGTTATACTTTCGCTGGATAGCCTATATTATTCCACTTTAAGCGGCGCTTGACCTCTTCATAACACATTTCCAGTCATTCAGAACTCTTCCGGTGTGCACTGGCTTTTATTTCTTCTGGTGACTTTTCAGCAAACAGATCCCTGTCAGCCCTTCCTGTTCTAACAAGTAAGTCCTATTGAGTTGATGAAATGTCCATAACTAAATTTCCGACAGTCATACGTCTGTCAAGATAGAACTCGACCTAATGAACCTGGCGCCACCAAACTGCTGTCACAAACAATAAAATGCTAGGTCTTCAGTGACCACTTACACAAAAGTGACAAGAGTTTAGAAATTCTTCCCTAGACTCTCAAGTAATAATGCCGCCTCCAACTGACAAATATCATATGCATACATGATTATATGCCTTCGGAGGACCCTACATCTCGATCCTGATTGTTCAAGTTTTCTGGAATGGCTTGCAAAGCTATAGCTGGACAATCATTCACAAATGATAGTATTCGGCTGAAATACAATAAAACAGTTCGATTTAAAATTATTTCTGGATTTTCAGTGCCCTATCATAAACTGT